ACGAGGTCAAAGTCTTCGTTGACTGTGGGGCGACGGTCAACATCCTTCCTTATTCCCTGGTGAGGAAGCTGGATAAGTGAAAAGAGGACCTCATCCCCAACGACGTGGTCATGAGCAGCTTTGTCGACGATAAATCTAAGACCATCGGGGTATTGCCGTTGAAAATCACCGTGGCCGACCAAACAAAAGTCGCGGCCTTCTAGGTAGTCGAATCCAGTGTGGACTACAATATATTGCTCGGTCGTGACTGGATCCATCAATCTGGATGCATACCGTCTTCCCTCTTCCAACTGTTGTTCTTTTGGGACGGCCAGAAGGTATCCATACACCCCGCCAGAAGGTATCCATACACGGATTTAAACGACGACGTTGGATGGGTTGTCCTCACCGACCACGATGCAAGCGGCCGACCAACCAGGACAACGGCCTAGAAAGTGCTGGAGTTAGGCGCCGAGAATGTTCGACAGGATTCGGCACACGAAGTGTTGATCGACCTCACTAGCCTCTAGATGACAGACAAAGCTACTAAAGAAGAGGGTGTAGTGGCCGTGACCGACCTGCTGGAAAGACAGTTGGAACATTGGGCGGAGGAATCCTTACGGCCAAATTCACCGATCAACCTAATCGAATTCCTCCATGAATCAGACGAGGCAGACGCTTTGACTTTTGACGACTTAGAAATGGCGCCCGCCGAAATGGAAGATGACTACCCTGAGGCCGAACCACGGCCTCTTTTTGTAAGCCAACTTTTGAACCCTAAGTTAGCGGCCGAGATTATCGGCCTGCTCCATGAATATAAGGATTGTTTTGCTTGGGATTACCATGAGATGCCTGGATTGCCAAGAAGTTTGGTTGAGCACGAATTAAAGATCAAGGAGGGGTTTAGGCCTCTCCAACAGTCGCCGAGGCGGTTCTCGACCGAAGTACAACTTAAAGTCAAGGAGGAGATTGAACGGCTCCTTAAAACCGGCTTCATCCGAACGGCCCGGCACGTTGAGTGGTTGGCTAACATCGTACCAGTTTTGAAGAAGACTGGGGCTTTGAGGGTTTGCAGCGATTATAGAAATCTGAATCGCGCAACCCCCTGGTAAACGGAGCCGCGAAGCATGAGCTCCTATCTTTCATGGACGGCCATGCTGGTTACAACCAAATTTTCATAGCCGAGGAAGATGTCCACAAGACGGCGTTCAGATGTCCAGGCGCAATCGGAGAGTGGGTGGTCATGCCGTTCGGCCTAAAGAATGCCGGCGCGACATACCAGCGAGCTATGAATTTTATTTCCCACGACCTTATTGGCCGGACCGTTGAAGTCTATATCGACGACGTGGTTGTAAAGTCCCCATCCAAAGCCGACCACGTAGGACATCTCCGACAGGCTTTCAACCGAATGCGGGCGCATGGCCTAAAGATGAACCCTAAGAAATGTGCTTTCGGCGTCACTGCCGGGAACTTCCTCGGTTTCTTGGTTCACCAACGAGGAATCGAGGTGGATAAAAATAAAGCTACGGCCATTATGGCAGCACCTCCACCAAGGACCAAGAAGGAACTCCAGTCCTTCCTCGGTAAGGTCAACTTTCTAAGGCGGTTCATATCCAATTTGGCAGGGAAAATCCGGCCGTTGACTCCTCTGCTCAAACTAAAAGACACGGAACGGTTCGTATGGGGGGCAGAACATCAAGCGGCCCTCGATGACATCAAGAGATATTTATCTCAACCACCGGTCCTTATGCCGCCGAAAAGAGGGAAACCCTTGAGGCTTTACATTTCGGCTTCAGAGGGCTTTATCGGCTGTCTGCTAGCTCAGAACAACAAATCCGAACGAGAACAAGCAGTGCACTATCTGAGCTGCACCCTTAACGTGGCCGAGCTAAACTATTCGCCGATCGAGAAATTGTGCTTGGTACTTTATTTCGCGGCTACCGAGTTGCGCCATTGTATGCTTCCTTCGCTCATTCAGATCATCTCCAAGACCGACCTCATCAAATATATGCTCACTTGGCCGATCATACGCGGCCGAATTGGGAAGTGGACGATGGCATTGTCTAAATTCACCTTCCAATATGTGGCTCAGAAGTCGGCCAAGGGTCAGGCATTGGCCGATTTCCTGGCTCACCACCCGACTCAGGGGCAGGGAGAAAAGTTAGAGGTCGAGATTGGCATGGCCCGCATGGAGAAGAACTACTGGACCATGTACTTTGAGCGCCATAGCTGCATCCAAGCAGGACCTGAACTCCATAAATGCCTCGACGGTGGTCATTTGGTGAAACAAGCGGAGGAGGTGCCACCAGGGCAGCCCGTGCTATTTCCACGGAGATGTCCTCGCCATCTGATGGATCTGCGGTGGCGGCCTCAGTAGCTGGCACCT